CATGACCCCGGTTTAATTTCAACTTGTAAATTTTTTAAAATTTCAACAAGTGTTAAACATGACCTCGATTTAACTTCAACTTGTAAATTTTTAAAATTTCAACAAGTGTTAAACATGACCTCAGTTTAACTTTAACTTATAAATTTTTAAAATTTCAACAAGTGTTAAACCAATCTTAGCTTATAAATTCCAACTCCCAAGCATCATTCTCCAACCCTCTGCCCCCGCGTGTCTTCCTCGGCCCTTGCATACTTCTCAATTCTGACCATGAGTTCCTCCATGCTCTTTTCTCCTTTCTTTCCCATAGACGGTGCCAAATTGTGTGTGTCAATTTCCGACCACACTGCCAATCAAAGCACTCAGCTGGAGAACATTGGCAGAATAGATTAAGCCCGAACGACCTGTCACAAGAAGAAGAGATTCCGGCGGTGGTTCGTCCACCTGGGGGCACTCCGACGATCAAGTCAGTTATCTCTCAAAGATAGCAAAAGTGCTTAACTCACTATTTAGAATATTAAAAGTGTACCTTAGACCCATGGGGGTACCTCTCTTTTATAGCTAACACTTACCTAATCCCAATAAAAGCCTAACTTCAATGGATTTAGGATTACTGCTAATTTGGACTCCCAATAGGATTGGGATAAACTCTCTAAGAGTCTTATCTTTACACAAACTGAAGTCCTCTCTCATTCTAGGACTCTTATCCCTTATCCGTTTATTCCGAATTTTGATATCTTCGCAGATAACCTCGGCCTAACCAAGATGATCTCGGTGTCATGACCAAGACGCATGACACCTCGGCTGGCACTTCGGTGACACCTCGATCACGTGTTGTCATTCAAAAATTATGTCCCCACAGGAATCTTGAAGTTCATGTCAGTAGATATACTATTTTATTTCTTTTTTAGTTTTGAGTGATTAATATTGCCTCATTCTCAGGGTGCTAGGATTAGGGAATAAGGATAATTAATATGGTCGGTATTATTTTTTTTTTTAATATGGTGGAATTGTGTGTACTATGTTATGAGATAATTTTTGATAAGTTCATTTCTGCGAAAGAGATGGCATTTGTTCCACTATTGCTAGATACCGCGGTTGACACTAGAAAATTTATTTAAAAAGTCTGCAGTGATGGCGATTGGTGGTGATTGTGATATGAACAGATAGATAGATTAAGTAAATAGATAGGTGACATGTGGATAAATAGATAAATAGATAGATAGGTAGATAGATGACGTGGATGGATAGACGAGTAGAGATAATATGATTTTTTTAAAGGGAAATGCACTGATAAATCCTAAATTTGTATCTTGTGACCCATTTGGTCCTATTAACTTTCTTATGAATCGTTAGGTCCTATTCCAATGTTAATGACCAAATTAGTCGCGTTACATCGCGTGGGGGAAGTTATGGCGAGGCCATATCTGGGTTTTCACAATGTGTAATTTACGTTTATACCCAAATCTTTAAGGCGTTAGGGTTCCAAGAGAACAAAGAAATGTTGAATCGCGACAGAGTTGACGTGACCGGTATTGCTCCGGTGAGCTTGTTTAATCGACACGTTGAAGATCGTGAGAGAGGGTTGGTTCAGAGGCGAAATCGTACCATTGAAGCGATTTGAATCGAGCCGCAATTGCGATCCGATCTCCAAACCCTAAAGCAACTACGATCCTATCTTGAAAGCGCCACCGTCGACTCCCTCACGTCCCGCCGCGACCTCCTTCAAAGCTACTACAAAGCCCTCTGCGTCGTCAAGTCCCGGTTCCCGATCTCCGGCGACGAGGACCCCGTCAACGCCGTGACTTTCACTTGGCACATGATGTTCAATGTTGGTGATGTTGATGATGTATGATCAATGTTGAAGGCTCTCAGTTGATGTCGGTGTGGAGGCTCTCAGTTGATGTCGACAATGTTCAATGTTTGAAATCTGATGTTCAATGTTCAACAGAATAGTGACTTTCACTTGGCACATGATGTTCAACATCGTCACTGTTTGAAATCTGATGTTCAATGTTGTGATGTTTGATAATGAATCACTATTCTGATATTGATGATGTTGTGATGTTTGATGGTGTTGTGATGTTGATAATCCAGTTTGATGTTGTAATGTTTGATAACGAATCACTATTCTAATGATGATGATCTGGTGATGTTTGGTAAATCATCTGTGTTGAAGTAGTGGAATACTGGTTTATATGTTCTGGTACCTCGTTCTTAATAATAATCGTCGGATATTGTAGATGATAATGGTGTAGTTGATGTTGTTTTGATGAATGATGTTGCAGATTTTTAGAAAACCAACCTTCCACAAAAGGGGTACTATTGTAATTTACAAAATAATCAAAATTAAATAAATAACATTACCAAAAAAATGGGACTAAGGCCTCGTTTGGGAACAGGCTAATTTAGTAACTTTTTGGCTATTTAGCTAAAAAGGTAGGTAAAAAAAACTTGTATATCTGGGATGACTTTTTGGCTAATTACGAAAAGATGTGCAAAAAGTAGAGAGAAAAGAGAATCTTGGACTTTTTGGTATGAGTTGTTGGCTTTTTGGCTAATTGACTAAAAAAGTAAGTCCCCAAACAGGGCCTAAATGGTGCATAAGAAAACTTTTAGGACTAAATGGTTCAACTTTTCAGAAAATAGGATTTATGGGTAAATTTTCCTTTTTTAAAATTATTTGACATTTTGGTTCTAAAATAATAGACTTTGGAAGGAACTATTGCCTCCAAAATTTTAAATTAAACTTATAGTGTGAGTACCCTTATATTATTAATGTTTTATTAGATTCGATTACTGATAGGATTTAATTTAGAAAATTAATTTCGACCAATAGATAAGAAAGGAAGAAAATCTCCCGGAGGTTGGATTGAAGAATAAAATCATGCAAATAAATCATACGAGCAAAATATCAAAATTTAGGGGGTTTGATCAAATCCTATTCAGACAAGAAAATAGAATTTCACTAACATATCAACTCTATGTTGCGAATAGTTACAATGATTATAAAATAAATTCTCACAAATAACAAAGACGATTTTAAAATTTACAAAATATTACATAAAGAATAAAATTCTAACAAATACTCAAAAATTTTGAGATTGTGTTTGGATAATAAATTTATGTAGAGATTTAAAAAAAGGATAAATTATAAATACATCTCCTGAGATTTATTTAAATTAGAAATTGTCCTATGTAGTTCTAGAAATTACATTATGCCACTTAAGGTTTTTAATTTCATAACAAATAAGTCCTTTTATTAATAAATTATCAAGTTAATTAACAGTTTTTAATAATGTTAAAATTTTATTTCAATTAATAATTTAGATAATTTTATTAGTGTATAGGTGAACAGTTAAAAATTTCACTTTTTTAATTAATTCTGTTAAATAAAAAATTCTGACAAGAAGGTATTTGTAATTTTTCAAATTACAGGAGACAATTTGTATTTTAAACAAATTTCAAAAAGTGTATTTGTAATTTACTCTTTAAAAAAACTAAGTGAAATATAGTGTTTAGATTAAAAATTTAGATAGAAATGTAAAATGTGAAAATGTCTAAAACAAATTTTTCAAAATTCTAAACCAAGTACAAGTCCGTTAAATACCTCTTTCGAAAAATCTTGTACAAAATTTAAAGTCTAAACCAAGTACAGGTCGATTAAATACATTTTTCCACAAATCTCGTACAAAAGGGACCAAAATCAACAAAATCTTTGTGCTTGTAATTATAGAAAGACTTTCATTCAAATTAATTAGTTTATTTTTTACTTTTTAATGTTAAAAATAAAATAAAAATAAAAGCAAACAACTTGTTAAATAGAAACAAAAATGGTAAATTATAAATACACCTTCTGAGGTTTCCTTAAAGTATAGATTGCCCCTTATGATTTGAAAAATTACGAATACCCATTTGTTAGAATTTTTTATTTAACATAATTAATTGAAAAAATATTAAAATTTATAATTACTCTCCTATACAATAATAAAATTACTTAAATTATTAATTGAAACATATTTCTAACATCATTAAAAACTATTAATTGACTTAATAATTTATTAATAAAATCACTACAAGAAATAACACATTTGCGGACCAAAAAATTAGTCGCTAAAAGCCCATTTTTAGTTGGCAAAAGTTATCTGCGACCAATTTTTTTGGTCGCTCTTTGGTCGCCAATTGAGGGTCGGCAAAAGTAATTCGCGACCAAAATTTTTGTTGGTTGGGAAAAGTTAGATTTGCCGACTAAATTTTTGGTCCCTAAATATATCATTACTGCGACTAATCCATTTTGTCGCTAAAACACTTTGATCGCGAAAAGTGATATTTTCCCGACCAAATATTTTAGTCGCCAATTGTCACATTCCACGACCAAATAGATTAGTTGCCAAAAGTCGAGGAATCACCGACTAACAATTTAGTCGCCAAAAGGTAAGGAGTTGCCGACCAATGATTTTAGTCGCAAAAGTGTACAATTTGCCGACCAATTTTTTAGTCGCCAAATCTCTTTCTTTTTTTTTCTTTTTTTTTTTTTGAGAATAATCAATTTTTTTTTTTTAAAACATTCAATCCAATATCAAATAAAATTCATTCAACCCAACCACAATTAAGAAACAATAACATTTAAAAAAAAAAAAAAAGCTTAGGAACAATAATAAACAAATTTCCTTTCTTGTGGAAAATATAACAATATTAAATGCAAATGTGGAAAATAAAATGTGGGTGGACAGCTTCAACATACATTTGCAGAAAGTCCATTCTGCAGTAGAAAATAATCAAATGCCAAAAGTCTCCAAAAGAAGAACTTGCCTTAAACCAACACACTATCCTTCAAGAATTTTATTATTTAAGATGGCGTGTTGGCTTCAAAGGTTTTGTTAGTCATCTCAGGTTATACAAAACAAAAATATAGCTGCATTACTAGAAACAAGTGTGATCATCCTCCAAAATTGACAATCACAGATTCATTTATTCCTTAGTATGAAAATTTTCATAAAGTATGCTGGCAATAGCCACAATTATCATTTATGCTAATAGTAGAAAAAACATAAGCTTACAATGACACAGGAGCTCATTCAACAACAACATAACAGCGATATAAGCCCTTTCCTTAATTCTACCTTCAAACCAATTAATGAGAGTCCAAATTATGTCGTACACTCAGCTCAAAACATACTCAGGATCTTTTGACAAAAGGGTGTTAACAAACATGAAGATGCTTGGACCTAAAAGATGCATTACCGAAGACAAGAAAGAAACATAGGGGCTCAAAGCTAGCAGTCTGGCCAGCAAAAGAGTTTACAAAAGAAAATAGAATTAAAGTTGGTAATGAAAATCAAATAAATGAATAAAATGTCTCGTCATCTCAATGCCATCTTGATGGGAGTGGTGAGGCATGACGTAAACACATCAGCAGGAAATTCTGCACTCTGAGGAAGAGTCTCATGTGCTTCACAGGCTGCAAGCAGAATGCAATCCCTTGGGGAAGATTCAGAAGAAGTAGAAGCACTTCAATCCTGAAGCTATAGCATAGACAATCATACTAAAAGGCAGAGAGCTGAAGAAACACAATAATAATTCTTATATCATGGCAAAATCAAATGCTTATTATGAATTCACCCTACATAGAATTGAATACCTCTACGAAGGCATTGACAATCATTCCCGCAGCAGAGCAGTCAAAAACATATATCGACGGTGTCTTTAACCAGGAATCAAGATCACTGATCGGTAATGGGATATATTGTGTATAACTCTGGACCAAATGACACAATCAGAAGAATATAAAGATTTGTAACAGATTATGAACAATAAAAGGCATGGAAACACTTTCAGCTCAGTAATGAAACCTTGTTGAACAGCCAAAGTTAGGCCAAGTTTGGCAACTCTTAAAAAATCCAAAAAGTCAAAAAGTCACTATCCTATTTAAATCACATCATCTTATTTAAGTCACATCACCTCTCTAACATATCACTTCAAACCCAACCCAAACCCAACCCATATTTCATAAAAAGTCAAAAAGTACACTTATTTAGTCTTCCCAAACTTGGCCTTACTTTCTTTAATCATTAGCTCCAAAGTTACTTTCTTTAAACTTGCCATGTGTGTCTAAATGATGGACGCATATATCTTCTAAGTTTAAAAAATGCATCCAATACGAAAAAATTTAAATAATAATAAGACAGACAAGGACACGACACTTTCTTATAAGTGTCCGTGCTTCTTAGCTGCATATCAAAAGCGTTTACCTTCCTATTTGAGGCAAGTGGATTTTTAGAAATATTATATTTTTATTTTTTTTATTTTAAATTAGATTTGGCTAGGACTATTATTCAAGTCTAATATTTTTAGAACATCTGGTGGTGCCTAGCCATCAGACCAGATTTGTCGTAAAAATAAAAATAACAAAATAATCCTAATCAAATCAAATAACCCTAATCAAATGTGTAGAACACATTTTCCCATGTTAAGTGTTGTTAGAACATTGGCTGGTGAACATGTCTCTTACTCTTTTTCTAACAACTAATAGAAGCTCAAAGAAAACCCAAAAAATTACCAACAATATAAGAATAATTTACATCCACCTAACTTGTCCACTCCAAGCTAAACAGAACTATAAAGCAATAAATTCATACCGCTTATATAGAGTAACATTCCTTGTTTTCTTCTTATTTCCAACATCTATTAATATAATCAAAAGACAATCAGTCCAAACCCAGTTCATCCAACAGACTATCATGATTTCTCTAATTCAAAACCCATTTTGGAATTTTATCGAACAGGTCATCCACATACTCTCACCATAGCCAAATTTATATAACAATTATATAGTATATATATAGAGAAAGGGAGGGGGGAGAAACAGGGGTAAAAGGGAAAAGAGGGCTGATAGTGGTTGTTCACAGTGGAGAAGGAATATACTCACGATATGACTTATGTGACTTCTGAGGAGTCCATTAGCAAACACAGGTGTGTATATATATATATATATATAGATGTAGAGTTCATCAATACCTGGTAAGGAGAGGCCAAACACACAAGCACACACTATATATGTACCTGGTAAGGATAGACCAAACACACAAGCACAAACACTATATATATATATATAGAGAGAGAGAGAGAGAGAATAAGAACACCATGCCACCAATACCACTTAAAAATTGAAATGTTTTTTGAAAAACGAGATGGTGAGGTCGGACAATGAAAGGGCAAAGATTTGAGAAATTGAAAATTATAGTTAGGGTTTGAAATTGGGGAAACGACAGAGAGAGAGAGAGAGAGCTTATCTGATGCAAGAGGTCTGAGATTGAGAGGATTAGCAATGGTAGAGTGTAGGCGGCTCCACACACTACCACCGAACATCCTTCCTCTCTCCGCCAAACCCATTGCTACTTTGCCGCTGCTCCTGTTTCGTTTCATGTTTACCCCTTCTTCGTGTTTGCTCTCTGCTTTAGCCAGTTCGCCGTTGACCTCACAGTGGGGAAACAAAGCAACACGACCATGGCGTGAGACATTTTTGGTGGTGGTGATTTTGAATGGTGGCCTAGGGTTTGTGCTTATGTGAATGTCAAAGAGAAAGAGAAATAGACAGAGAGCAAAGAGAGAAACAGAGAATACATTGTGAGCAACGGTGAGAGAGGGAGAGGGAGAGCAAGCAAAATTTTTTATTTGTTCGGCGCTTGGTGTATGTATCTGAGCTGAGATACAGATAAATAAAAAAATATATATAATGAACTTACACCTAAAATTCAAATTGGGCAGTAATATTTTGTTTTTCACGTTTCAAATTTCCCTCCCAAATTTTTCGCGACCAAAAGATCAGATTAGTTGCAGAAAAGGTACTTTTGCCGACAAATTTTTTTAGTCACCAAATCTCAATCAATGGCGACTAAAATTTAGTCGCTAAAAGACTAATTTGGCGACTAATTTTTTTTTAGTTGCTGAAAATAAGTTTTTGGCGACCAAATTTTTGGTCACTAAAGAAAAAAAATAAATTTTTATTTTTCATTCGGCGACTAAAATGTTTTAGTAGCCAAAACTCAATATATGGCAACTAAAATATTTTTGGTTGGGGAAAGTAAGTTTTTGACGACTAAAATTTTGGTCGCCAATTCCACAACCAACTTATTTTTGATCTTCTACGACCAACTTATTTTTTGGTCGCCAAAATGTGACCTTCCGCGACCAAATTTGTAGTTGGTCGCCAAAAGCATACCACTTTCTGCGACCAACTCATTTTTTGGTCGCCAAAATATGACCTTCTGCGACCAACTCATATTTGGTAGACAAAAATAATGATCATTCGCGACTAATTAATATTTGGTCGCGAAAAGGTAACTTTTAGCTACCAACTTTTATATTGGTCGCGAAAAGTGGTCACTAAAAGTGCAGATTCTTGTAGTGAATGAGCGATTTGTTCTGAAATTAGAAATTTCAGAAGGTAGAATGTAATTTTCAGAATCACATGGGGTGATTCGTATTTTAATCAAATCTTATAGGGTGTATTTGTAATTTACCCGGACAAAAAAGAGGATAGAGACTACTAAAAATATCTACTCAACAATCTCATGCAGTCATTCACAAATATGTTTCCATTTTTTAATGATAACTAGTTGCGCTGGAGTTATACAATTTGTTTCAATTATTTTGTCTTCATTTTCATATAATATAATGGTGTTTCATATGTTTTTTGAGATTTTTTTTTTTTTTTTTTTTTAACGCCATTTGAAATGGCGTTTCTACTACCAACCAAAGCCAACCCACACAATGACACACACACCAATGGCCACACCCACAACACTCAAGCATTGAAATAATATAATTTTTATATATAATAATAATTTATAATAATTAATTATATAATTTTTATAATTTTCGTAAATATAAATCATTTTTCACTTGAAACAATTGCTTTCATCATGCCACAGTGAGTTATCCGAACGTCCTGCAGTTTCCTTAGATCTCTAGCTATGGAAAGTGAGAACGTAGTTTGTAGTTTATGACACCAGAACACATCTACAGACGTCAGGTTGCCGAGCCATACAAGTTGGGTGGGACCCTTCCACATATTTGTCAATTCAGGCAAGAAATATAGTACCAACTCTTTCAATGCACGGAAAGCCGTGTTCGGTAGTCGGTATTCATGACATTCATGGCTAGTAATCCCTTTGAAATTATATAGATTACGAAGATACAGACACTCACAGGAAAAGCACTCTGGGGAACCCCATCTGTTGTATTGATGAGGTATTCCAATTCAGTCAAGTAGTCTAGTGTCAATTTCATTAAGCATTCAAAACCATCTTCGTCGACCAAATCACAGAGAATTTTCAAACTTACTGCAGTTGCGGTTAAAATAAGAATTTCAGTTCTCTTCAACAGCAAATCAAACCTCGTTTCAATGTCACTCAAGTTTTGACCTTGGAGATCCAACTTATTTGATAACGAATAACGAGGGTCAGGGATGCCACCAAAGTAATCGCCAACAACTATATTGAACTTTTTCACCTTCTCAATACCTCTCGGCCAGAAGTCCATATTTAATAGAACAATATCCAAAGCCGCCAAATTGGACAAGGACGCTAGTTCATTGCTCACTGAAAACTATCCCCGAAAG